AGCCATTGGTCACTGCCGGGAACGCCCCCGCAGCTCATTGGCCAGGAGCGGGATGATGGGCGGGGCGTTCCCCCACCCCGGCGTGCCGCGCGCCCGCTCCCGTTTCCACGGCGACGGCAACGCCGCTGCGGCCCCGGTAACCGGGGACACGGGGGAGAGCGGCTGTGGCCTAACTCTGCCTAAAACAATTGTAATGCTGTGGGCGCTGTAATGAACAGGGAGGGGATTCGGCTAAAAGCCTCCCGCTACTCCTGAAAGCACCGTTTGCTGTACAAGAGCAAGAGCCTGGGTCGTTCTTTTGGCCTGGCTGGCCATTACTCTGCTTGGTCAAGGAGCTTTAAGCCCACACTAGGAAATTTCTGAGTTTTTTCTCGGTATGATAGCTGCTATCAGCAGAGTCTGTGGTTGCTGGAAAAACACAGAGGGCACTGGGCTTATTTTCAAGGCTCCACCTGTTTTCCTTCCCTGCAACACAGCACCAGGGGTAGGACATGGGACAGACAGGTGGCCTTTGACCCAGGCCAAGGGCTACTACAGCTCCTTCTTGTCCCTGACAGAGCACAGCACTCCTTGGTGACTTAGGTACTTAGTTCAGCATTCAGCTATTCTGGATTTCAGAAGAGATTTCTCTAAGGTGACACCTGGCCCCAGGAAAAGTCCAAAGTATTGCATGACCACAGTATTTCACTTCTCCAAAGTGGTGTTGCCCCTTGAGGTCTTGTGTGGAGAGTGTTCCATGAAAGGCTATTACAACCAAATATTTATTCTCTTTATAATGACTGTGATTTCTCTTTCAACTTCCCATTTCTCCACAGCCCAAAAGGACCCTACAGAAGCTGCTGCACATTTCTGGGGGCATGTCTGTATCCTCTACCACAGCTGCCTGATCAACCAGGATGTCTGTATCAAGCAGTGAAGAGGGTTTAGCTGCAGGAGCAAGCCCCTGCCAGACCCACCAGCCAAGCAGCCCCACAGAACTGTCATTCCCAGCATGGCCTTAGTGCCACACGGTGCCACCACTGTCACTGGGTGTGCCAGGCAGGGGCACAGCTCGAGCAGCCCCAGCTCACATTAAGCACCCACTCTGTGGCTGGGAGTGACACAAGCACCACCCGAGCCCTGCTGCCCACACCGGGCTCCCAGTGCCCTGGGGCTCCCACCACCCTGGAGCAGCCCAGGCAGAGTGCAGCTGCTGCCTTTTGCTGCTGGGGCAGCACAGCAGGCTCCGCTCCACGCCCGGGATCATGATGGTGACGAGTCACGCGCAGCCGGGTCCGGAGCTGGATGGAGCCCAGGCAGGATGGGAACGCTGCAGGCCCCACACACCCCCTCAGGCAGCACTCCCCATGGCTTGCTCAGACCGAATCATCACTGTCACCACAACAATACAAATCAGCCAGAAATAACAACCTGGCTGGGGTAGAACTTGGCTTTTATTCTCCAGCGCACTTCTCCAGAGACAGCAGAAAAAGAAACAGCTCAATTTTTGGGACAGCACATTCAGCAAAACAAGACGGGGAAAATTATTTTATAAAAGTAAAATCAGAAGAATAAGAGAAGTTTGAAACATAAAGAGCTAAACACTGTCAGTACTTGCATAGCACTAGCAGTAATCTGGAAATACAGTAGATGGCTATAAAACTTGCAAAAGCAAAACTGCTCCAACAGCTCTAGTAGCAAAGGAGGAGCCTTCTGAAAAAAAAATAAATACAAGGAAGACTTTTTTGGTACTTTTCCTTTTTATATCCACAATGTAATGTCATCTGTTACAACATAATCCCTGCCATTGCCCTTGAAGATCAAGGCCTGTGTCCTCAGGAAGGCTGCAGTAACTAGTCAGAGTCCTGTAACTGGATGCAAGTTTCAGTAACAGTCCATGGTTCTAGCCAGACTTGAAAAGAAGAATAGCGACTTGGCCGAGGTAGAAGTAGATGAAGTGCTTGGTCTCATGAGTCACGTAGCTGCCAAAATTCCTTCCCACGATGCAGTGCCAAGTGGGATTGTATTTCTTGTCAAACTCCTGCAAAACAGATCATGACAAATCAAGAACTCTTCTAATAGGTATTCACTTTCTGAGCAAGGCAATCAGAGGAAGAACAGATGCTCTTACATACTAGGATTATTTTATTTACATCTTATTGTTCACCTGCTGCTTAGTCAGACACACAAAAACCCCTCAGCGCTTCTGAACTGAGCAGTAATAAGTTTAAACCATTACTTTTGTTGAAGGAAAGTAGTCTTCTATTCCCCCAAATTCATAACATGATTGAATATACAATTCTCAAGTAAAAGATCATTAGTTTGAGACAAAGCCTTTAGACTTCATTGTTTATCAGCAGCACAGCTGCTGAACAGGAAATTCTCTGCCACATGCTCTGAAACAACAGTATGATCAATAAATCTAAGCACTCGTGCTTTACGTATTTTCAAACAAATCCTCTATAAATTCACAGTAGTTGCTACAAAGGATATTTGGAAAGTACTGAACTCTCTCTTCAACTTTCATAGGTACTTTCTGCATCTGGAGAAATAAAGCCTTTCTGTATTCTGGTCATAGCAAACAAGCATTTTTTAGCAGAGACAATTGTTCTGTATGAATTAATTACTTCCCATGTTAGAGAAACTTCTCCATCCCAGGTACCCCATATTTTAAAGTTACCTCCACCCCAAGTGTCCTGGAGCAGAATCTCAGGCTTTGAGTGGTACAGCAACAGAACAGCTCCAGCTGGGTGCCTTCAGAAGGACTCCGAACAAAGAAATTCCCAGGCAATTACACCCTCCCAGTCTCAGTTCCCCACCCTTCACAGTCCAGACCACTAATGACATTAGGGTCTGGGGACTTCTTGTTCTTTATTGCGTCTGGACAGTCTTTTTTATCTCTCATGTTGAAGTTTCTGCTGACAGTTATAACTTCCTTATTTTCCAGCCTGAACTAGCTCTCGAGGCCCTTTTTCACAGCGTTAGGTAGAAGTTAGCATATCCATGTGAAAATTCCCAGCTTGTGGCCTAAACCTTTATCAAATTTAGCTTCTCATGCCAAGCAGTTAACTCCAGACAGTGATCGGCCTTAACATTTCAACAGCTCTTCCACTCAGATCACTTTAACTTCTACTGACGCACTTTGATTTCTCCGTTCTCCTGAGCTGACAAAGCAGGAAATATAATCTGAACTAGATCTTTCTCGTGTATTGTTAATCCTACATAAAGGACGGCACAGATGTTGCAAACAGCAGATAATCAGTGCCACCAGGATATTTTTTTGGGGAGGGCTTATATCACTACATAAGGACAGGTGTGATTACAGAGAATTGCAGAAAACTACTTTTCCCTTGCTATTTTTGATCCAAAGATCAAAAGATCTTTGGCAAGAATTGTAAAGAGATCCTTAAGATTAAATTAAATACAACTGAAACCAAGAACAACAAGCTTCCTCTCAGAGGAAAACCACAGGACAGCTCAATAGAGTCACTGTGTTTTGTACCAGCTCATCAGTCACAGGGAGTCAGGTGCCACTCTATCCTCACGTGGACAACGGGACAGTGGTAAAAAAGGCAGTAAGCAGAAAGGACTGCAAGAAAAAAGCAGTACCTAGAAAGGTCCATGTAAAAGGTGGGTAAAGGAACACATGGACATCAGCCTAAAGACAAAGTCTAACTTGATTATCAAGCATCTCTAGAACTTGTTTTTCTAGCACTACTTGCCCAGCAGCATTCTCCCCAATTGATTTTTCATATGCACAAAGATATCATGAGCACATTACAAGCCAACATCTACCTTCTTTATGTGAGCAGCAATGTCCTTCTCAATGTTGTATTTCTCCAAGGCTTGAGTTGCACATTCCACAGCATCTTGCTGCATCTCTTCTGACATGTCCGCATTTTTGATCACTGCCTTTCGATCACTCATGATTGCCTGCTTGGAGAAAAATACCGAAGGAAATTCAGAGTTGCAGAAGCACCTGCCGGAACCACCTGCTGCCGAGCAGCCCCACAGGTAGCGCCATTCCCAGCGCGCTCTCGGGCGCCGCGCGGTGCCCCCGCCCCGGCCG